AAGTTAAAAAACATTAAGGGCTTTTGTTTCGGTTTGTTTCTCCCCCCTGCCCCAAGTAACTGTCTGGAATTGCTTGTGAAAATGAAAGGTCTGTTGGTAGAACCCAGTTTTGTAATGACATCTCCCTCTTGTATCTGGGGTACAAGACTGCCTGCCAGGAAGTACAGGTTGTCCCCAAGGGCATGGTCTTTACTTGCCAGCTAACACCCCCTCCCTCCATCTCATGCAGGAAGGACGATTCCCCGCTCTGCAGGATATTCTCCCCTACTGGCCACAGTGGATTTTTATTCTGGTATTAGAAACTATTTGGCTCTGCCTGACCTTCTTGTTACCAGTGCCAGATTGTCCCAGGTAAGACTGTGCACTCAGACAACTTATATGTGGGGTATCAGGTTGGTTCTCTTCTACTGAGTAGAAGGTACATTTTATTAGCCCCAGAGAAAGAATGAAGGGAAGACCTTTCAGACCAGCAGTGTTAAAAGAAGCATCCATCATATGAAAAAACATTCAAAGTACTTTAGCTTTCAGACCAGCAGTGTTAAAAGAAGCATCCCATCATATGAAAAAACATTCTTTACTTTGGTACTAAAGTACCAGGTGTTATACAGGTGATGTCACTCTTCCTTTCTGTTTAAAGAAGAGGATTAAAATCTCCCTGAGGTCTGTGTGTAGCAATATTTGATTGCTGCATTGCCATCAACGTGTGCCTCTAGCCTGGGAAAACATTCAGTGTGCTGGGTCAGTGGGCCAGTTGCTGTGCAGCTGGACTGTAACAACACTTTGTGCTCTCTGCCTCTGTCCTAGGGGCTATCTTGGGCCTGGGGGCATTGGGGACTTCGGAAAGTATCCCAACTGCACTGGAGGAGCAGCTGGTTACATTGACCGTTTGCTTCTTGGAGAAAAGCATATGTATCAGCATCCCTCCTCAGGTGTAAGTAGTTTTTGGTTTGCAGTATGTCAGGAGTGGCTTGGGAATGATACGTGCAGGGGGATTTAAAAGAAAGGAGTTTGGTTGCTTGGGTGCTCTGTAACAGCTATTTTCTCTCTAAGGTGATTTACCAATCAACGATGCCATATGATCCTGAAGGGATCCTGGGGACCATAAATAGCATTGTTATGGCATTTCTGGGACTGCAGGTACCTCGTTTTCTTTCTGGCTGCATGCTATAATGGGAAGATTTGAAGGAAACTTGGAAGTGGGGAGGCAACTGGGTTTCTTTACTTAAGGCAGAGACTGGTTCTAACAAAACCTTTTTCAGAGCAGTGCTTTCATGATGACTTAGCCGGAGGTGAGTGCCAGAGAATGGAAGCTAACATGGCAGTAGCTTGCATTAGATACACTGAGACTTCTTCTCAGTTTTTGTAAGGGATGGACACAAGAAGCTTGCAAAATAGCCACCTGGTGTTTCAAGGCTGGGCTTATGCTGGGAGTAGGCTGGCTCTGTATGTTGGAAAATAAGGCTGAGACACACCAACTTCACAGCTTCATTGTAAGTTTTTCAAAAGTTGCAGGTGTACTTGCTCCCCCTGGCTGATTTTCTGCTTGTCCTGCAGTGATAGCTATCTTGCACAGATGCTGTGTGCTCACCTTCACACTGGTGTTACCAACACCAAAAGCTCACAGCTGTTTAAAGTGCTGCGCGTTTTGATGCAGTTTTGATGCACTGCTAGCTTCTCTGATGGTGCAGCAGCTGTGAACTAAACTGGAACTCTTGTGCTGGGAAAGGAATGTTACCACATGTAGCACGGGGTAAAAATTGATTTGGAATATCCATGAGGCAGAGCTTGGAACAGAAGTGTGACACTGAGGAGTGAATTTTCAGGACATGTTGCTTAGTGCTGTATGAAAAGAAGCTTGTGCTCTGGGCACGACAGGGATGCTGTGGAGAAGATCTTGGGGCTGGCTCTGGTGTTGTTCTTTACCAAGGGAGAGGGAGCTCAACTTATGTTGAGTTGACTTAATAAAGATACTTGTCCCCTTCCTCAGTTAACATAGTAAGAAAGCAAGAAAAGATGCACCTCTACTGCTGATTGGGTGGCATTTACATATTTTCTCCTTGTGTGTCCATTCTTTACAAAGTCCTCATTTTGAGCCTTTCAGCCACTTGGCTGATAGAAATCCCATTTATGGTCTCTGTCTTAGCACAAGTAAAAATATAGCTGGTGGAAAATATATCTGGCTCTTGAAATGTGGTTACACTAATGGGCATTAATTATTTTTTTGTATTTTTTAATAAGGCAGGAAAAATTACTTTGTTCTACAAAGATCAGCCCAAACAAATTATGAGTCGGTTCATCATATGGGGCATAGTACTGGTAAGTCTGATACTTATGTAGCTCTTTCAAACACATGTATTTTAATGCAATGCAAATATTTCTGAAATGCTGCAGTGGTCATATAAACTTTACTGACTTTCTATTTCAGGGAGTTATTTCTGCTATCTTGACAAAATGTTCTAAAGAAGAAGGGTTTATTCCCATAAACAAGAACTTATGGTAAGCAAAGAGATGGAACATTTCGTGTGATTTTGTCAAATTACTTTAGCTCAGAGAATGTTTTACCTTTTCTATATTGAGATCTGTATCACATAGTTCTCTAAATATTTTTCTACTGAAAATGTTTGTAGGTCAATATCATATGTGACAACCATGAGCTGCTTTGCCTTCATCCTCTTATTGCTGATATATTACCTTGTGGATGTCAAGAAATGGTGGTCAGGTGCTCCATTTTTATACCCAGGTCAGTAAAACACATCAGGAAACAGATTCCTTATGATTCTTTCTGCACTGATACTATCCTTTTGTTTTCTTTGCTTCCATTGTCTGTAAGAAAGTAGGGATTTAGACTGAGGTAGCCTGAAGGATTCCAGAATTATTAAGTTGAGTGGAACCTTTGCATAGAACTGGGACACTTGAGACCAGATATTTAGGAGAGAGGGACAATAAATTCTTTAAATGAGGGCTAAAAGCTGCTATTGCCTAATAACTGTTCTGAGTCTGGTATCAAGTCAAGGTCTCAGTGAACAGCTGCTAGTACCAAGCAAAATACCACAGTTGTTCAAAGTTGGTTTTGGAAGGGACTGCTGAGACTTTGTAACCTAATGGGAAACTCAAAGGCCTGTCAACAGAGTAATACCACTTCTGAAGATGTGGAAGACTAAATCCCCTGGGCAGCTGTGTAGGTTGTGTCTCTGTGATTTTAGATAAGCATGTTTCCCAAATATCCCACTGTGGTTTTAACCACATGGGGCACACAGCAAACATGAGTGGAGAATGCAAAGCCACAGCAGAGGGGACCTTTCAGCAGCTTTGGTCCCTGTTGTCTGGGTAGGAAAATAGGCAGGGTGACAGCAGGATATCATACCTCCTACCAGAAACCCCAGAGCTTTGATGGGCAGTCAGCATTTGTTTGGAAAGGCAGCAGATTTGACCAGATTGGTTGGCACTCGTCCACCCTGAAAACAGTAACTGTTATTATTCTCCTTATTAATATAATTGCAGCATACTGATGTGGTTGTATTTTCAGTTTAGCACAGAGGTTATTTGCATTTCTTTTAATAAATGTTTTGGGGGAGAGAACCCTGACACTGTGTTTGAAAACAGTGTGTAGCATCTTTGGAGCAAATGACATTAGCTGTTGTTGTGCCACTCTCTTTTATAAGCCTGGCACACCTCTGCCTGCTTGCTCTGAAGCAAGCCCATACCTGCTCTTTCAGATGGTATAACCTGTGCTTCCTTTCAGGAATGAACTCAATCCTGGTATACATTGGACACCAAGTGTTTGCAAACTACTTCCCTTTTAAGTGGAAGATGCAAGATAGTCAATCCCATGCAGAGCATCTGACTCAAAACCTCATTGCAACAACTCTTTGGGTCATAATATCATATATACTTTACAGGAGAAGGATATTCTGGAAAATCTGATAGAGGTGGTCAAGGTCTAGCAGGCCTAGATTCTGATGAGGCAAGTGGATTAGCCTGAAATATGGTGGATTAGACTGAAATATTGCCACTCAGGCTGTATTACTAAAAAGGGATACTACTTCAAGTTTACAGTGCCATGGAAGTCATCATCAATACTTTTATGTGACTTATGGGACAGTATTTTCCTATTTAACAAAAACTTACTAGTCTATTACAGCTGCTTTCCATCTTTTGTAAATATTTTACTGATTTCCCTCTTTTCATATACCCCAACACTTGGGCAGTCTAAGGCACCCTGCGAGCGATGGGGGTGGTGACTGCAAGGGGTTACCAGGAAGGGCCTGTGGTAACAGTCCCTGCATGTGACACAGCACCCCCTAACTCAGGTGCTCTGGGGTTTGTACATATCCTTGGCACCTCTTGCATGCCTGTCCCCTCTGGCTACTGGCACTCATTTCACTTGGCTAGTGACTGTCTGGGAAAGCTTGGGGGCACCTCTGTGTCACAGCCTGATGGTGCTCTCAGCTGATCATGATTCATTGTATTTTTCCCATTTATTCGACCAAACCCTTAGGTTTAGGATCCTGCTGAAGCCTAAAATCTCTTCTATTGGCTTATTAACCAGCAGGCTGCTCCTACAGGTTTAGCAGCCCATCTGTGCATGTTCTGGGCCTTTGTGTAACACACCTCTTGCATGGACGAGGTCCAGGTTTCATGTGCTACACTCTAGGAGTGCAGAAAGGCTATTTCCTACTGACTTTGCATAATCACTTGGATATTACCAAATTTCAATCAAAACAATCCTCTTTCTACATGAATTTACTTAAGGACTCTGAATCTGAAAACCAGCAATACAGGTAGAATTCTGCTGACAAGGAAAACCTAACAGATCAATTCAATGTAACATTACAGTTTTGGGAAATTCAGGAAATTCACTCATGCTGTGATTTCCACACTAATGCTAATAAAAAACCTGAAATACCTTGCTATGTTCTCTGTGTATGTGCAAAGATAGGAAGAACTATGACACACACCTTAGTATAATGCTATGGAAAAAAAACCCCAAAACAAATAGGATATTACAAAGACTTCTTAAACAATGTTTTATTTATAAAGTTTGATCTACTCACATAAGAAATCAAGCAGTGCAGAACCTGTAACTTACAGGGAACTTCTTGGCCCTCTGAACAAGACATTTTCCACTGCTATGCTGCTTTGTTCATACAAAGAGCCTTCCCCTCTCTCCATAAAAGACACTGCATCAGGATCCAGTCCATTCAAGCAAGAGTCTGCAGCAGCAGTATTTTCTCATTAATGCAGAACCTATGCAAGACCACCATGAGATTTTCCCCGCAGCGCGAGACCTGGCGCTCCATGGCCAGGCGGAAATCTTCCTTCACTCCTTTGGTTATACCCCGGGTAACTGTGTGGTGCCTTAAGCCGCGAAGGAGAGAGAGACAGACAAAATCAAATCATGGTTATCTAGTGAAATACAGTCATTTAAAAGGAACTGTGTGTCACTGGAATATTTACGGTCCATATCTGAGTTTATTTAATGAGAGTCAAAGAGTCTGTGCTATGCTATTTCTTAAAAATCATGTTTAGTAGGTTACAAGCCTTTCAACAGTAAGAAGTTGCAAAAAAATCTATGTTCTCACTGCTTTGACTATGACTGCTGAAGGGGGAAATAATGTCAATCTTCTGGATAATAGGAAAATCTGTTCTCTTAACCCAGCAAGTAGAGAGTTCTCCTTGCTTGGGGAAAGGAATTTTTTTTCCTCTCTACCTTTGCTGCCCAGGCCACTTCTTCCCCGTAATCACCTCTACAAGTGGTTGGGGTTGAAAGAAGACTGAAAAGATGAACTTGCTTTCTCTGGAGCACAGGTGCCCTCATAAAGAGCAGAGGGCATCTTCTACCAATATCAAAGTGCAGGAAGGAGCTTTATAACCCTGTGGGCACTGATAATGCTGTGATTAGTGAAGGCCAGTGAGCACTTCACAAAACCCAAGTCAAGCCAGGCTGCAGCAGTAGAAGCCAGCTCAGAAGATACTAAACACCAGGCAAGGGGTTACATCTGTTCTGACCACAAGTTCAGGACTTATTTTGAAACAGAACAAAGGTCCGGCTACTGAGCAAGCTAAAGCAGTGCTGGCTGGGGAAACTTATAGGATATTGCCCTGTTAAAGGCCATTTTTATGAACAGTTCTTTGTCCTCATGCTGGTCTCAACACCTAAATCTTGTCCTTAAAACAATGTTCTGCAGCACCAAAGCACTTTACTTGCACTAGTCCAGAACTGGGTAAGTAAGATCAAGACTTTGTAACATCTACCTGCAAGTCCTACTTGGGAAGGGGAGAAAAAGACATGCCCTGAAATGAGAACCTTAACACTACTGTGAAATGAGAACCTTAACACTACTGAAGGAACCAGCATAAATTAATTTAGAGAGAAAAGCATAATGCTAATGCTGAGATGAGTCCTGAGTCATCGGTAAGAAGGGAAGAGCTGGTCTGAACCCAGCAAGCCTACTGAAAGACAGAAAGAAAATAAAAAATAAAGGGTGAGGGCATCTGTGCCCATCCAGAGATGCTGGGAACAAGGAAGGGAAACATTTCAGAATTACCCTCACCATCAGTACCACACAACTTTCACGTAAATAAAGAAGTCTGGCATTTGAGAAGAGACTTCTCTGCCAAAACAGTAGAGACCTTTGCAACACATGGAAAAGGCAAAGCCTACTGGGCAATTCCTCGGTGAGCTATGCTAAGTGAAGCAAACCTACATTGAAAACACTCCAATATATTCAGAGTCCATGGCATAAGTCCTGTTTTCAGTCTTTATTGTCTTAAACATTGCTGGCAGCTGAGTGCTATGGTCAGTTACAGCCTAAAGGAGAATATGCAACCTACAGCTACTGAGCAAGCCAGCAGCACTTTGGAAGATGAGAGTTGTGTTACAGCTGGAAAATACAAAACAGAATTCAGAACAACCTAAATGAAGAAAAGTTGCTACAAATGGATCCAGGAACCAGTATCTTGAAAATAAAGGGTTATGCTCTTGCTAATATATGATGGAACATCAGTAAAACTTTTGAGAATTTCTATATTATTGTTTAAATTCAATAGTGATTACTAAATTGAAAGGACACAGATACTGGCAACTTATGGGAAAAAGAAAAATAAATGTTATTATAGAACAACATGGTTTGCCAGGCAATGTAGGCACAAATGAAGAAATAAAAAAATAAAAAAAAAGATAAATATTGAGTAACAAATTGCTGAAAACCATGGGCAGTAAAACATGTTGACAAAACACAGCACACTATGAGCAGGGTTTTTCCACTTGGTACCTGTCAGCAGTCTGTATGCTGGGCTGTAGCACAGGTATGAATTCCTGCTGCAGTAACCCCATGGGAGGGCTAGAGGTCCTTTAAAAAACAGCAAATAGCAGCATTCAAACACCCACACACCAACTCCCCTCTGGTGCAAAACAACTCTCCAAAACAGGAGTAACAGAAAACTAGGGTGAGCTCATACAGCAGTATGACCACTGAGCAGCCAAAGGGGTGCAGGATTCTTAACAGCATCAAACATGCAAATATCCCCAGATTTCATTGCAAGGCTGTTCTACAGCTGTGGTCTAAATATACACACATATTTTTGGACAGTTACACCAGGAGAAAGGACAGCAGCAGCTGCAAAACCAATACACAGTTGTACTACGATGAACTGTCACAGCTCTTCCAAGGAAGCATGTCAGAAAAGATTTAATCAGAGGAGTACTCCAGATACCACAGCTTGCCTCCAGTACTGGCAAGAGCATGTCAGCAAACTGGGAGAGCCCACAGCTTGGAGCCAAGGGACTGGCTGCTGAGCCCAAGCCGAGTGCATGCACAGCGGGTATCGGCCAGGTTGAGTACATGGTGGGATTTGTTAAAGGTTGCCCAAGTATCTTTTCATTAGCCCACAGACAGACTTTTCCACCTTTACAAATTCTAACTGTATAAAAAAACAGCTCTTAGAGCATGGTACAATGCCAGAGCACAAATGCCTGCTCGGAGCAACCTCCTATTTATGACCAGGGCCACAGGAACTAACTACCAAAAGCTGTCTCAGCTGAAAGACAATTTGCCTTCTCTAGGAAATTAAATTTTTATCTCTGTGTGCTATCTAGAACAAGATAATAACCTAACAGGTTCAGTCTAGAGCAATACCCCACTTAAGGAAAAGAGAAAAGAGGAACTTGGTATATAGGAGGGAGGTTTAGATTCTTAACCTAAGTCTCTTATGTCACCTGAACCTTAATAGGCACCCGAGTAGTGAGTGCACCATTCACCCCTGGAGATGCTATGAAGGGAGCAGAGAAGCAAAACTCACACTTAGATTCCTGTAATTCTGAGTCAGGTGCCTGCCTTCAGATCTCATAGGTGGGCATTTGGGTTAGCATCTATGGTTTATTGATAGATACAGAGCTTATAGAAGTCAAATAAAGATGGGACATTTAACACTCTAATACAGCTACAATAACCTGAAATAAAATAGCCACAAAAATTATTCCATATAATGAGATAATTTTTCACGAGTTCTTGGCATGAGATAGTCCAGTACTTGCAAAAATGGACATGGGAAACATAAAATACAAAGGACCAGCAAGATGTTATTGATCCCAGAGGGGCAGATGTTTGCAAAAGGAATTCTGTGCAATTGTGTCTTCACTACTGTTTGCAAGATCTGCAGTTAGAACTAAGCATACCCATGTGCACAGAGTAAAAATTACACTTTCAAGATACTTTGTTTCACTTCAAAGCAACCTTCTCTGTCCCCAAGGAGAGATGTGATGGGAATATGAGTAAAAGGAAGTACACAGCTTTCCGATCAACTTTATGCCATTATGTAGGCTATGATTAGATTAATTAGAGAAAGATTTATCAAAAAGATGAGCAAGATATTAAGCAGCAATTTGCTGCATATTGCTCTTTTCCTCTTTAGCCTCACCAGCTAACACTGCCCCTACTGACATGAATATCAGATAAACTGTGAAACTTGGCTTTTCTAGAAGAGGGAATTCAAAAGCACTTAATGGTGCTGGATTCAAAGCTCATAAAACAAATCTTGTTAACACCACAAACAGAATGAGCTGGCTGTGTCACCAGTTAAAACCAAAACCATGGACCTTCTCATTCCCACAGTGGATGCAAGCAGTGGGAAATATTTTGCAGAACCTAATTATAAGTCTGCAGACTACCAAGACCTTACTTCATCTTTTTTAAAAGCACAATGCAGTTTGCTTTATTGACTTCAGAAAAATGAATATAATTTCCTATGAAGTATGAAGTAATTTTAAAAAAGTACTGGAAGAAGAATGAGGAATTCACCTGGGGAGAAAATGCCCTGTAAGTCATCAAACAAAAAAGCAGTTCTTATAAAAGACATATTATATTACAATATATGCAATACATTTCCCATCCATTAAGATGCAGGATTACTACATTTATGCTAAGAAAAGATCAGACAAAGGAATAACTGCTTTATCTTTGGCCTGTTGTGTCAAACTCAGAGTCTTTCTGAGCAAGAATGAACAGCATCTGAGCTGTCCCTGCTAATTCATGGGAGGATGGTGCAGCAGCTCATCCAACCAGAACTGGTGATAGTTTTGAAAGATGTAAGCAGCCTGCAGATGCTGAGCCTACCAAGCACTGTCCCAGGAAACAGGGCTACACTAGCACACTTTACCAAAAACCCCAGCTGGGGGAGGCTGTGAGCTAACCAGGTCAGCACTGGTGGGTGACACCAGCCCCGGGCCTCACAGCCAGTCCAGCTAAAAACACCTGCGGTACCAGGGGAGCAGACATCATCTCCGACCAGTGGCCCTCAACTATCCCTCCATCAGCTCTCTGGTGAAGTGCTTCCAGCCCTCCACAGCCACAGGAAAGACATTGTCCACAGCTTTTCCAGCTGGATAGGATATTTGACTGTTTTGGCTCAGTGAGCACAAAGAAATGGACTTCTCTTCTACAAGCCTTTCCGTCATTGAGGAAACATCACTGATCAAAAGGAGGTCAAAGAGAGGTTCTGTCCTGCTAGAAACACTTCTCCCTACCTCCTTCCTGACTGAGGGGGTCAGAACAGAAAGTAACTGTGGCCACACCAATCAAACAGAGCCAAGAGAAACAGTGCTGAACTACTGCAATGAAATGGAGACAGCAGGTAAAAGTTACCAGATGGAGTCTTCAGTGCTAAGCCCTCTTGCTGGCAAAGCTTATTACTTAACACCCTATGTGGTGCAGCATGCCTTGAAGCTTGTTTTCATACAGCTGGTTACAAGTAGTGAGATATGGCAGGGGTAAGAGTTTGAAAATCTAGAGCTTAAAAGAGAAAATTCTCCGTCACATAATTAAGCATTTGAATTTCTACTTTTCCTTTCATTACACCTAGTATCTCATTTTTGTGTTGGTTACCTAGATATCTGAAAAATCTATTTACTAGTTAAAATTTGGATCCCATTGTCTGCTGTTAGGCTCCCATTTTGAAAACTTCAGCCTATTTCTGGTTAGTGAATAGCCAGAATACACTGACCCTAAGTGGAATTTCAACAAACTTTAAGCAGTCCCCCCTTTTAGGAAGCAAAATACTACTAGTTCTCATAAACAACCAGGATACTTCAAAACATTATGCCACTAAAACCCTGCAGCAGATAGTTTTGAGTCAAAACTGAACAAGTAAAAACACCCAGGAAGTTAATCCAAATTATTAATTTACTTCAGGATCTTGTAATAAGCTAAGCAGAATAAGATGACCTGCTAATTCTAACAGAAAGATTACTGGAATGTAGATGGAATGTAATTTGATTTATATTTTTACTGAAATTTTTCATCATTCAGTGGTCTTTCATGAATTTTGTTTACAAAAATAAAGCAAAATAGTGCTTTTTGCTCAGCATTACTCTTCAGCAAAATCAGTAACAACACCTTGCACTCATGCCTAATTATGTGAAGAATTCCTGCAAAGTGCAAGTGTCTACTTGAAAGAGCACAACTGTAATCAGTTTAATATCAACCACTCCAAAGCAAATGCCATACTCAGATATAAAGTCCTGTAAAAGCAGGAATTAAAGCTGAAGAACCCCCCAAAAGAATACACAGATCAGCAGGAGTCAGAAAAAGAAACTCATGGCCTTGTTTGAACTCATTAAATTTAAGCTCAAAGACATGACAAACTATCCAGAAGATAACATGAAAGCAAAGACAACCAGAACATACTCCCTTTTTTTTCTTGCCAAAGAAAACAGTAAATGCTTTTTTATCCTTACTTGATCAACATTGCTTGATTTGGCAGCAGTTCCAGATGAATTTTCCCTCCTTCCTGTGTTCTTAAATAAGCAAATTCCTCCAACATATCAATATCTGAAGAAAACGTTAAAGATTTGAGTAGGGAAACAATGATTGAGAACATTTTTTCTTATGCCTCACATCGGAAGCCACATTGCTGAAAGGAGAGTCAAACTGAAAAGCTATTGAAGTACCTCATTATTAAAAGTGATAGAGAAGATCACAGCATGTATTCCTAATCCTCCACAAACTGATGAGAAATGGCTTTTCAAATAGAAGAACATATCCCTTAGTTTTCTTTCTTTGTTTCTTCATATGTAGTCAGAGGTAAAGAACGTTGTTCTCAACATTCTGTGGGTTTCACTTCCTTTTCTTGAATTCCAGGTTATGAAAGCAGTGCAAACTGAGGCTGCATCCTAAGCAAGTGCCACCACAGTGGCACATTATCACCCTTTTTAGTTTTCTGTTTTGATCCCTTATTTAGCTGCTTGTTTTGTGTGGGTTTTTTTTTTTCCTTTCCTTCCACACCAGAGCTTAATTAGTTGTCTCAGATAGGAGTTAGACCCCCCCTGCTTCCTGAGGCCCATGGCTGGATGTCTACTTTGGTTAAACATGAAACTGTCCATTTGTGTGTATGATCAAAATTTATGTCAGATATCTGAATAGATAAATCAAACATGCTTTGCATGATCTTTGACATAGCTCATTATCTTACTCAACCCAAACATGTTATCCACAGAAAGCATTTCACAAACAAGAGCCAAAATCATTCAGCTCTGCAGCACAGGTACCACTTTGTCTTTTTTGTTAACAGCCTTGTACATAATGCCCTGTATTTCTTAACGAAGAGATTGCTGTCACTTGCATGAGCAGCCTGAGCTCCTGCTGTTTTCCTGAATGGAAATGCCATGGCAGTGTACTTAAGGGTACTCTCAAGTGCCAGGGCACAGGAGGCATATTTACAGTCCATTGTGTACTGAGCCTACTACAAGAGGTTTTCTTGGTATGAAAATAAATACAGAATATGTTTCAAAGAGAGAGCTGCTGTGGAAACTAACAGCTTTTTCAACACTACAGCACAGGATGTGAAAGACATTCTTGGCTAGAGAAAGGATACTTGTGACATAGTTGAAAAAATTCTCATACTGGAAGTTTCCTTGCTGGCAGATTTTGTTGATGGCTTTCAGGAACAAGTTCTCACCCCTCGGCCACTCATGCTGAAGCAGAACAACTACATGGCCCAGGGCCATATCATCTCTGCTGTCTGTGAAAGCTCTGAGCTTCAGGGAAAAAAATTACATTCAGACAATCAGGAAATACATGTTGCTTTCAAAAACATACATAGAGGATTTATCTCACCTACATCTGTGCAAATACAGAAGTTCTTTAAAAGTATATATTAAGGCAGAATGAAATACACTTCTAAAGTAGGTTGGAAATTTCCAGCTAAAGTATCAAATCCTCTCCCACTGACCTATAAGAGAAGTCTGAACAGAGACAAAAATTTTGAGATCTCTTCTGTCGTCTCTGCTCAAAACTAAAACAAATACAGAAAAAAATAGAAAACAAAACCTCTTGCATCAAAACTCCACTCCCCTCTCCAAAAGGAGACCCTCCCCTAACCCCCTTAAGTAAGAAGGATTGAGGCACAGCCCTGGGACACGGCCATGCAGTTTCAGGATACATAAACTAGGCCTTCAGGACAGGAAAGCTCCAGTTACCTTGGAGCCATCTTACCTTGAAACAAGCTAACAACAGATGAAGGCAGTAAGGCATGATGGCTCTACTGGTACATGGCCACAGCTTCAAATCAGACCCTGCAACAGAACAGCTCTTTAGGGGTCTCACAACAGGCAGGCTGAAACAAATTGAAATGGAGCAAAACAAATCCAAAATTACCACATCTCAGGTAGGGAGGAAAGCTTTGAATGTAAATTATGACTGATTCAAAATGTAAAGTGAAACATTTAAATTTTTCTTCTTCACTTCTCTTTTCCTGTGGTAGACTTTGCCACCAATATACTTTAAAAGGTACAAGCAAGAAAACCTCAATCAATACCAAGAGGAAATAAACTTCCTCCCTTTTCATAATACAAAAATTCAGCTGACACTGAGTTTTGGGTAATAGCAACTCCATACCTTTCCTGAATTTTGACTTGACTTTAGGTTGCTCCTCTTGTACTTTACCTCCTTCTTGTATTGGAAGTAAAATACAGCACATTAGGTCAAGCACTTTTTCGCATGTTTGCTGTAAAAAAAGGGACATGATAATGCTAAATTTAGATTCTTAAATATGCAGATATGCTAATAACGATAAAAATTTCAGACACCACAAAAGGACAAAACAATCACAAAATTCTTTGCTAGAACTTGAGTTGACTTAATACACAGTACAGTCTGGCTAAGCAAAAAGATTTAGCTGTTACTAAACAACCTCTGAGACCCTACTTACATCATTTTAACTGTGAAAAAATTGTATTGGCATTCTTCATTTCAAGAGGGTAAGATCAATATAACTGCAATCAAAAATTATTTTGTTTTGAAGGATTAAGTTTTTAAATGAATTATTAAAATAGTTTTGTAAAATTTATTTTGTTCATGGTAAAAATAGAAAGGAAAATGGCAATCTGACAGCATGATAGAAATTCAATGAATTTTTAATGCTATTTCCTAGCAAGGAGCCTGTGGGAATATATGATCATGTTTCCAGTGAAAACGTATTAAAGTGGAAGGGACAAAAGCACTTGTCCAGCAGTACTAGGATGACGTTAGAACCTTAGAGACAGAGCCTTCATTGTCAGTGCTGATCTGAGTGACCTCAGACCACCATGCACTCCTGCAATATTAAAATCACAAAACATCTATTGCAAAACTAGAGCAAGTTCAGAGCTCAGGCCAGACAATATTGTTCTGGTGTCTCTTATATTGTCAGTCAATAAATAACTCTCTTTTAAGATGATCACAGAAGTTCCTTTACTTCTTCTTTTGCCTGCCACATGAAGCCTGTACCTAAAAGAATTCCTCCTCAATTTAAGGAACTAATTCAGGAAAGTTAAGGAATTCAAATTAAGGGTACATTTACAGACAACTCAAACACATGTAGCCATGAAAAATCATAACTAACCTCCCAAATCTTTACTATGAAAAAGATTATACACATATACATAGAGTTGCTAATGGACAATCAGTTAATGTGGCACTAAGTACAGTTCTCCCAGTAAAGCATAGATCTTTCAGTAGACCCTGGCCTATGTTTGATATCCTGCTGAAAGCAGGCTCACAGGAAAATTCTAAGGGCAAAGAGAAATGGGAACCACAGGGCCAGCTGATGAAGGCCCAGGCTGTGGAATGCTGTACATACCCGATATTCTCCAAGGGCAAAGTGGCACGATGCTAACTGGATTAGTGCTCTCTGATTCTCTAAAGATCCTTGTCCTGTAATTTGCTGAGGAGAATGAGAGCCCTGAAGAGCTGCCAAGTGGTGTAGGCTGCTAATTGCTTTTTTGTACTGCCCCTTTAAAAAGAATATTAAAAAAAAAAAAACTGTTAGGGTCTTTTCTATACAATAGGTAGAGAGATAGAGAAAAAATTCTCTTACAAGAAACTTTCAAAATGGAGTGTGTCCAAGTAACAAGGCTTCAAAATTTCAATCTAAACTAATAATCTCCAGTAATGCGTTGTGTACAAGACCATGTGTGGGTCAACCATGGCAGTCAGAAGACAAAATTCAGCTTTAAAAAGCCAGTTTACAAAATTATATTTGAAACTGGATCAAATAATTATATTCTTGAATTAATCATTACTTTATTTAGACTAAAAGTTTGAAAGACCTCTTGTTTAGGCAAAAGTAGAGGCAAAAATAAAAGACTCACAAAGGAAAAATGAAGAACAAGCTTTCTTCTGTAGCTGGTATTGGAATGAGCACAGTCAGCCTAATTTTTGTGGACAACATAGATGTTTTGCTACATGCCAAAATTAGCTGGACTCAAGCAACAGCTATTGGGACAGGAACATCCAAAGCAGGGTACCAAGCTCGTGGTGCAAACAGTGTAGCTCTATCCCCAGAAGAGTCATACTTTAAGGCATAAAACCAGCAGACACTATAAGCAATCAAACCGGCTAATCAGAGTTACTATTTACAATAAAGAAGTAAATTTTACTGGAAAGGAAGAGCAACACAATGATGGTATTTTTCCTAGTTTATACAATATTTTTTTTACCTGGTAGATGATCATGTCTGTAAGAAAGATTCTTAACCAAAGCCAGGTTTCTGTCTTCCATGACAAACAAATTCTGGTGAACTCTGTGTTAAGTGATTAGAGAAAAAAAAGCAAAAGAGAACATGAAACATTTCACAGGTTTGGGTTAAACATCAATTTTATATATATATATATAAAAGCTGAATTTAAAAATGGAAAAAAATGGCACCAAAACAGTAAGAGGATGAAATCCTTCACATACAGGATGCTCTCTTCCTATACACTCATTTTTTATTCCACTTGTCTTCACAGTGTCCAACAAACCTAAAAGCAGCTAGGTGGTACTGTTTGCCTGCTTTTTAGGAGAGACATTTTTTTCAAGATTATCACACCAGTTACTATCAGAAAGGGAGACACAGTAAAAACACATGTTCTTAATTATGAACTAAAGCAGCACATCCTCACTGAGCACTATCAGCACTGCTACTGACCAACTGCTCCAAGAGAAGTAGGGGTGAATAAGCAAAGATGCATCAAGAATGAAATGCAATACAGCAACAAAATATTCAGAAATGCAACAACTGATAAAGTTTCTGGAACTTCTGTCAGAAGTACTCAGGACACAAAGCAATTTCAATTTTTTAAGGATTCATAATGGTAGGAATTCCATTTTAACAATAAAAAAAGTGATTTCTACGCAGAGCAATGAAGTCTAAATGCACTTTTAAATGCAGTTACCTTACCTTTGTCAAGTGATTCCAGAGAATAAAGCAGCTCCCAGCTCTCTCGTGCCAGTTTGAAACTCTCTAATACTTCAATGGAGTTTGCAAGATCAGCCTTATTTACTGTAATATGGCGACTTCTTGCCTTCCCAGAAGGATCCTCATCATCTGAGCTCTGCTCAGAATAAAACACAACTATTAACTTCTTAATTTATACTTTCTTCAGAGGACTCTAAAGTCACAGAAGTTCCACTGAACACAAGAAAACAAATACATATAGAGGTGCCATGGTCCTAGTTCAAGTGGCTTTAAGTGATTTTTCACTCAGCTTGTTCTAAGGTTAGATCCATTTGGTTTTATACCAAGAACTCAGTGGCACAGCGTGATGAGCGGTATCCCAAACAAATTTATCCTGTTAAATGTGGTGCACCACCACTGAGCTTCAGCCAGATTATCTGCTGAAATACATACATACACACTTCACACTTTATGACTCAATTTAAGCCTACAGTGGCATAATGCAAAGGAAATCTTTCTATTCTCTTTATAGTAGAGAAATTCTATAAAATAGTGATTTTCTACCATTAAAGCAATAGATACATTGACAGTTCCAATCATGAAAAGCCAATTATTTCAGAAGTTTACCTTATATATGACTGCTATATCTACTTTTTTAAGTGTCTCTGCTGAACTCCTTCAAGTTAAAGCATTCACAGCAGTACATGTATCTGCAGCAATTGCTGCAAAAATAGTTTCATTCTTGCTGGCTTTAGAAAAAAAAGTTTGAAAATTGTGGTCATAAACATAATTCAGAGTAGCTCTAAAAATATGTCTTTTACTTCTTTGTCAAAACCACTGTTGTCTAAATTCCAGTAGCAATGCCATTCTTGTTATGAATTAAAAAGTCTACAAAAGTTACCATTGTTTTTTCTCTTCCTTCAGCAAGTTTCCTTTTTTTGTGTATGTGTTTGTTACGATCAATATCTGTATCACCATAGATGTTGGGAACATCCTCGAGAAGAACCAGTGGAGTTTGGTTTGGAGCATTTGGACCTGGATGTAAAGATAAATTAATTCACAATTGCCCTAAACTGATCTGAAAGGTCTTATGGCTACAGCAAGCTTGGTTTTTTTCCTTCACAAGCAATGACTATAATGCTACAGAAAACAGTCTTATATTAAGTCACTTAAATTGCTTAAACTATGCTGGTAAAGCTGTGGTTTTCTCAATGAGCCATACAGTGAAGGTCAGAGTGCATTTACCAGACATCACCAGAGCCTGATCAGTAGCTTCAGAGTATTTCTGAATCCCTTTATTCTGGAGCAGTCACAAGATATACTCAGGCAGCAGGTGTCCTCTGATCAAGCATTATTTGCTTTAAATAAGTACAATTATTCAACATATGAACTCTGAAGCACAAATGGCTCTGAAGTTAGCAGCCACAAATATGGCAAAGCACAACAATATTCTCAAAATATTTCTCATAAGAAACCAAAGCAATATGCTGACAGGCAACAACCCCACAAAGAAGTTTGTGTATTTTATGACAAGATTGCCCCAGAAGGATCATTCAGCATCAGCTCTGCCCCCAACAATTTTAGTAAACAGAATTAAACCTTTAGTTGACTGCCAGAGCTCATCTTCACTCCCAAAAAATAGAAAAGCCTCATTTTGAAACACAGAAAACAATTTCTACTTTCACTATTGTCACAGAACATCCAGCAGGATCTGGTACCTATTATTTCACACCCCAGTGCTTAAGTTTCATTAGACATAAAATACGAACAATACTTCTTACTCTCAAACAACATTGATATGTGATCACTAGTGAGACAGCTTTCCTTCCAAAACCATTTTCTCCTTCTGCACAATCAAGCTGCATATAGATGTGCAAAGCTCAGTCTAAGAGAAATGTAAAGGAAAGAGGAATCCTTTAATCTGTTTTCTCTTTCTGAAATCTCTGTCAGGTATAACAGTAGTGCAAACAAGTATTTTCAGTTTGTGCATTTCTTCTATTTGCAGAAAGATAAGAGGCTAAGGTCTCATTTGTAACTGTAAAGAACTAATTTGAGAGTTTAGTAGATGATTAATTTCATCTCTTGACATAAAACAAACTTCTATTAAGCTTTTCCCATCTACTCAAAAGTGACGTGTAAGGAGTTCTCTACAATAGAAGCTCCTGTCAGAAGAAACAGCCAATCTACTCTACCTAAGAAATACAGGTCACAATAACCAGGTCAGTAAATACCACCATACAGCACATTGCATTCACCTCTCCTGCACCATCATGTATTCCACTACGTCAGAATCTCACGTGTGAAAACTGAAAATAGAGCTAAGACATAACACGGAAAATTCATATCTGTTTCTCACTAATGTGAAGTACCACAACTGGGATGCTGGAAGACTTTCACCATTAGAACCTCAAGAGCTGCCTAGTTTTAACACCTGAGAAGAAAAATATTGGGTTTTCCTTTTATTCATACTGACTTAAATTATTGACAGCTAAGTTCTTTGCTTCCCAAAAAAGTGTTCTCCTCCCAGCACCAGAAGTGCACTGCAGTCTTTATTCCAAAACCTCCAGTCCTAAAATAAAAGAAAATCCACTGTCACATTTGACTGGGGCTGTAGACCTTCTCTTACAGTACTGAAAGTTACACAGGCATACAAAGAGAAGCATTGTGTTTTTCTGTCTGAGCTCTAGAATCAAAGCTTACAGAGTTTTTAACTGTTTTCTAGCAGAGAGTGTTATAAACAAACCCCCAAAAGCATCAGCCCAAATAGCAACTCCTGCTAAGCCTGGAGGCAGCCTCAAAATTATGAGAGGTGTGAATTGCCTCATTCATTTTTCAAGTCTCCAGCAAAGCAGATCCAAATTATGTAAGAGAAATGCACTGAAAAGTTTTCCCTGGAGAGGCCTCTTGCAAATCCACACACATGAGGAGAGTCACAGATCTAATCCCCACAGATGAGGAGACAGTGTTTTTCCCTGTGACCATGCTTCCAAAATATGTAGGATTCTACATTTCTACAGTAAGACCTCCAGAGAGTAGGAGGAAAAATTCTAGGAACAGAAAATATATGAAAGGCACTGAATACCACTGGACTTCAGTGCTAAAGCAGAAATGAGTAAAAATGTCTTGGAAATATGCTCCTGATATCAGAAAATGACGGAGGGTACCAGAAAAGTTGCACCAAAGGAACTGCACTGTGCACTCTTTTTCTGCTGGTTCAGTCAGAAAATGTGAGCTTTGAAATACTCAATTGTACAACTTTGAAAGGAACATTTTCACTAGTGCTTTACTTCCTTTCTTCTTTAACTTGGAATCAAGCAACTAAACAACATGCACACCTGAACTATCCTCCTGCCCACCATAACCCTTCTTTCTTCTGGACAGAACAAAAAACTTGATTCATTAGTTAATTAGCCCCTGTATTTGTTAAAGTGACTCCATATTGTTTGCATACCAGCTGCCATGTCATTTGTCCTCTGAGCTTAGGTATCTACTGACACTGTTCAACTGCTCACCCAACACACTGTAGAGCTGTTTAAAACCCATCGTTTGTTCCTTACTTCCTTACTCAAATGATCATTTGCTCCATACAGAAAAATGTGATGAAACTTACGATCATAACACAGAATTAAAACTGTAATTTTAACATGAATCAATAATTGTAGTATTAATAAGTACTAATTACCTATGGTGACAACTGTTATTGTTGCAAGGAATTTCCTATCACATGATTAAGAGCTGAAATTTCCTCTTTGTGATGCTGTTTATTTCAGTAAATTCTAAAACAAAATGGAGCTTAAAAAAATCCCCTCAGCTTCTGCGCCACCCCTGAAAAGTCTGATCAATCCCAACAAAAAGCAATTCAAGGTGCTCCAAGCAATCTTGTATGTCCAAAATGCAGATGTGAGTGGGTAGGAAAATGCACAGGTAACACACATATGTTAAACATTTAATTTACCAATTAATTGCTAATTAGGAGTAATGTGCAAAACACACCTCAAAGATTGTGCTTAAGCTACATAAAGAAAGACTAGTTGGAAGCTTGTGAATGTCAGGAAATCTTTTCCTATTCAGTTTTATTTGCTTAATTACAAATTTGTGCGTTCCCATCGCAAAAATGTCTTCACTTATTTTGACTGAAGGAAAGCAGGAAAATGTCAGCTTCAAAGAAATAAAATCAGAGGAGAAAATGAAACAAACACAATGCTCATGGAAGAGTAGGCATCAACCCTAGGGATGTTTCCCATAACATCTGGTCTGTTACTTTTCTCCTTGCTAGACAATCAGCTGCTGCTGGCCAAGGTTGAAACCACAATGCTGAGCTAGACTGATCTTTGATCTGATCCACTACTAGTTCATTTGTTATGAACTACTGTTGGTAAGATTAATGACTTGGGAGAATTTTAACAAGTCATAACAACATGTAAATGTTGCTTTATGAGACAACAGTTTCAAAATACTAAGGACGAAGTATCTTTAAGATATTAGCAATGAACCCACAAAGGGCTCATTACAGAAGCTGAAACATTAGAAACTAACCTTGAAACAGTGATGGCTGGATGTTGCTGACATACTGAAAAGCATTTTTAAAGAAGACCAACATCGTGGAATACACTACTTGATTCTTGTATTTAATGTGGGCTTCACTATCAAAGTTACTGATGTATCTGCAGAGATCTTTCATTCGATGCAGAATGTCACCGTAACTCCTGAGGGGAAGAGGGATAACAAGAATTCAGGACGTTACACAGACTCAGCAACTAAAGAATGCAAAATGAATATGAAAATCTCAATGTTTCTGCTGAGGATATCCCCCTACATCAAGTCAGTGGAGGCTGGCAATACATGCTAGTGAAATTTCACAAAACATTTACCATGCTTCTCTTTAATGCATAGGGAAGGTTACCCCACAGCACTATAGTGCTTATGCAAGACTTTCATCATCAAAAGTTGATTTTAAAGACTAATTTGAAAGTGCTCTCTAGAGTCCCATTTTTGCTTTACATTGTACAGTCTTGAAAGAAAAGCTGCTGTGAACTTACCAAAAACATTCTCATGCTAAAATTGTTCTACAATGATAATTGTTCTTACAAAGAATCAAAAAGCCAAATTCTCCATGAGGGGAAATACCCAGCAAAGTAGAGCTTTCTTACCTTCTTCCCTTATCCATTTGCCACTCACACCTCATTCCCACTATGGACAATATTTTAAACAGCCTCTCCCAAGGATCTGTAATCTGGGATGATTTCTCTGTGAGACCATCTATTACATATTTCTGAGAGCTGCGCTTGCTTGGAGACATAATATCAGAGGAATCTTGTGAACCTAGGAAAACCATAAAGAAATGAAACAAACTGATTCATTTGCAAGAAGATGACATGTAAAAGTTATGCTGGAGCTTTCAGGGTAACCATTCTTTACACAGGAGGCTAACAAGGAGCAGCAGGCATTTCTGCCTCTGTACAAGAGAGCTGATAGGCCAGATAAGGACATCTTGGACATTTTGTCCCACCTCGCATATGCTGAAGCATCACGAGCATCATGACTAAGTAGATGAAGCACCATCTTGGTATTTTGGAATTAAAGAACTAAGAAACACTAAATACTACTATTAGTGGTATCCTTGTCTGTGGGATACATTAACATAAAAACAATGGATTTTTCATTTATGGACATCAGTGATACTAAGACACATTCTAAGAAAGCTTGATTTTGTAAAAATATTCTTACCTTGATATTGACTTTCTGTCTGTGTTGATCTAGTTATGTAATTAATATAAAATTCTGCTGCTTTATTCAGGTACTTATATAACAAGCTGGCAGGAAGTCGTACATCAGGGTTGTTAATTATCAGGGGAAGAACATCACAAACTAAAACAGAAAACAAACAAAAAAAAAATCCTTTCAGTTTGTGGGTTTTTTTGTCCTATTTCTCCTGGGTAAGGTTTCTCAATCAGCAGTGGGATGACCATACACCAGAAAGAACCTACATGAATGGCTCCAGGACCAGTCTGTACCATATGGCCAGCCTGGATTAACATGGCCTGAGTCTCTTCTGACTACAGCAGTTTTCTAACCATAGTATCATGAAAGAAGTTTACTGACCTCAGAACACTGCCATGCTAAAGAGTTGTGTTGTAAAACAAGAGCATTAGTATTTTCTTACCAAATAATTTTCTAAAGCAATTCACTGGAGATTCTTGTTCTTCAATACTTTCAGCATCTAATAATGTTTCTCCAAGGCCTACCTGTGTGAGCAGAGGTGACAATCAAACACTGGACCAGTGGTTTCAGAAACTTTCTGAACTGCAGTTCAGTAGGGTTGAACAGTAATTCAGTAACAATTCTATGGCAACAGCATGTGCGAGTCTTCAAATATATAGTTAAACTAACCACACTTAACAGCAGGTGAAAAGCAATATCAGAAGATAGCAGAACAAGACCAAGAAAAAAAACTGTACATGAAACTGTTTCAGCAAAGACATACACAGACAGGTGAAAGCAATATATGACTGATATTCTTTCATTTAAAAAACAAATTATTGTTTTATTTGCTTCCATTTGTATCCTGCCCAATCCCTTCCTGGTGGTAAGCTCAAGATTCAGCAGTCTGAACTATTAGCCACAATTAAACATGAATAAAAAGACCCATCCTCTCATTAAGGCAAAGGAAAACACATTTCAACAGAACCTCAAAAAACCAAGTGCCAACATGCTTAATAATTACTATGAGTTCCTCTCTCTCCTCTTACCCCGTGTTGCACCACGGTCTCTGGGAAGCGCCGCAGAAGCAGAAGGAGCATTTCTGCCCTTTCTAATGTGTTGAAGCACTGTTCTGTTGCCTTCAGGAGCATTTCACACTGGACCCGACCAGGAAGGGTCTCAAATAATCCTTAAAAAAAAAAGAAAACATTTGACTCATTGTGTCAGAATTGTAAAGATGACTGACAAAGCATAAACACCATTGACATCACCTTGCTTTGCTGAACAAAAAGGGATTTCCTTATGCTTTTTCTGCTTTTAACACAGATACCTGAAAAAAGTCTGTTTCTTTCAGAGAAGACCAAATAAATATTTATCTGTAATAGTGTTTATTTGGGTGCAAGGAACTTGAATTGACAAGTAAGACTGCTAGTAATTGGAATACTCAAAATCCCAATACTTCAGTATTTGACATTTCAAGATGCTTTCTCAAAACTGTTAATTTAGGTTTTTTACTTACATTCTACTTCTACAATTAATACTTTCATTACTAAAATGTAAGGATTTTTAATTTAAAAATCCAGTGAGAAACTAGAAACTCACATGTTCTCCCTGTATGTTTTATATATTCACTCTAAAAAATAAATACACCCCATGACAAATCAAATGTTTTCATAACTGGAATATTCTTAGAGCTTCTGAAGCACATATTCAAACAGCAAATTATAGTTTCTCAGGTGTAAATCCTGCTTTCAAAACTGCCTGTGGTTGCCAGCAGTGAATGCCAAGCCCTTCTGGACACCATTCATTTTTATATCCCTCACATCAACAACAATTCACCCCATTTTTACAATCATACACTGTTCTCTGCACTCTGTGGGACAATGATTTTTAGGTCCCATTCCACTTATTTCATATTCAATTGCTCTTCTATGTATTTCTTGTTCTGGCAGAGTAAGCCTACCCATATCAGAGACAAAGCAATGGGAATCAGCTTGTCATGTCCCTTTGTTTTCCTGAGCCTAACACACCAAATGAAGTCTGTATGACTGAATTGAGGGAAAAAAACAAACCCTGCAGTCCACAGGCAGAGTTAGAAAAGCTGACATTTACTTGTTAAACTAGACAAATTATCAGAGGGCTTATCTTTAGATTACTTCAGGACAGAATCCTCACCTCTTAAAAACTGTGTCTGCTTGTCCTGGGAGTCATTCCTTAATGCTGCTGTAATAACACTGATCTCCCTCCATACAGCAGGTTGGTCTGGAAAATTCACAAACCTGTAACAAAGTTTAAGGCAAGGAATGTACAGTGATCTCAAAATCTGTCTTCAAGACAAAACCTTCCCATAAAAGTATGTGTTTGGGCAAAACAGAAAAGAAAACCTTCCTTTTTACAGTTTATTCTTAATTAATTAGACCTTTTGTGCTTAATTTATCCACACGGATTTTCAAAAACTCTGAGTTTACATTTTTGGAAGTTCTGACATTTATCTGCCCACAGAAGGGCAGTGCAGCTGGTGAAGGGTCTGGACACAAGTTCTGTCAGGAGCAGCTGAGGGAGCTGGGGTTGTTTAGCCTAGAGAAAAGGAGTCTCAAGAGTGACATTATCACTATCTACAGCTCCCTGAAAGGAGGCTGTAGCCAGGTGGGGGTCAGTCTCTTCTCCCAGGCAACCAGTGACAGGACAAGAGGACATGGTCTTATGATGCACCAAGGGAGGTTTAGGTTGGACATTAGGAGGAATTTCTTCACAGAAAGGGTAATCAGAACTGGACTGGGCTGCCCAGGGAGGCGGTGGAGTGACCCTCCCCGAGGTGTTCAAGGAAAGACTGCATGTGGCACCTGCTGCCACGGTCTGGTTGACAAGGTGGTGTTTGATCACAGGCTGCACTCAATCATCTCTTTCTTTCCCAAACTGATTCCATGAATGGAGCACCTGGGATAAAGGCAGAGTTCCAGCTCTGACTACTTACATGTCGTAGAGCAGCCTGCCTGCAGACGCTGTCCTCTCAGCATTCCTCTCAATAGTGTACATCTCATACTGCAGCACGCAAGAACAGAACATCAGCTTTCCCAAATACATTTATCAATCACAAGAGTCCCTCCACTCTACAAAACTGCCCTCCATTTGCCACAGCAGTCTGCATAACAGAAAGTTAAAGGACTGCAATATTTGCTGGAGAAATTAGAAGGTGCATTTAGACTATTTAACCACACATTAATTTAGGCACAACATTCTGCTTGACAATACACTTAATGTTATTAACACTAACAACCTTCTAGTATCTAAAGGAGGCCAACACAGAAGTCAGAGAAGGACTCTTCATCAGGAAGTGCTAGGACAAGTTGTAATGGGTACAAACTGTAAAAGGGGAGCTTTAGATTATACAAAATGACGAAATTCTCTAGCGTGAGTGGTGAGACACAGGAACAGGCTGCCCGGAGAAGCCGTGCGTGCCCCATCTCTGGAAGTGCTCAAGCCCAGGCTGGAATGGAGCTTGGAGCAACCCAGTCCGGTGGGAGGTGGCCCTGCCCATGGAAGCGGGGTTGGACCAGACGATCTTTAAACCAACCATTAACATTCCATGGCTCTGCGAACACGCCAGCTTAATTTTTACACCAACTGAAAACTTGGAATTCAATGAGTTCTTTGACCGGGGTTTGCAACCAGTCAAACGCAATGCAAAGCACCCAAGGTGCCACAGAGGCCCTCACGAGCAGAGGCACTTTAACCAACAGCAGCAGTAAAAGGTTTTGCTGTTGTTTTTTAACGCGAAGGCACAGCGGCACCCGGCGGCCCCGCCCCCCCGCTCCCATTGGCCGAGCCGCCTGTCAATCAGCCAGGGCAGCAGCGACAGCGCGCGGGAGGGGCGCGGGGCCCCGGTACCGAGCGTGTGCGACAGCGGCGGCGCTCACTTGTATGTTGAAGTCGGCAGGGTAGAGGCTCCGCGCCGTGATGAGCCAGGCCTTGGCCGCCCACAGGTCCCCCGGCACCAGCTCCCGGGCCCGCTTCACCAGGAACTCGCAGTCCCCCTGCGCCGACATCTTGCACCCGGCGCGGCCTGGCTCCGCCCCGGCCGCCGGGCGGCGCGCATGCGCGGCAGCGCGCCCCGAGCCGGGCTCGGCCCGCCCTGGCGCAGCCGCGGGGCGGGGCGGGGAGCGCCCGTGGGCCGGGCCGGGCCGCGGCCCCGATGGGAGCGGCCGCGGAGCGCTGCCGTCATGGAGCTGCTGGTGCTGCAGGCCCAAGCCCGCTCTGAAAGCCCAGGGCACTGCTGACTGGGCTGGTGCTTGTCTAAACTTCTTACAGTCCGCTACTAAGGCCACCGGAGGCAAATGCGGAGGAAAAGCAGGACCTTTCACCACAGAAGTGCATTCACCTTTCAGCAGCTTGGAAGAGTCTTGTTTCTCATAATTAGATTTTAATGTTAGGACGCTTGATTACAAGTATAACACCTAATGCTACTTAGCATGAATTCTCTGTTTCTTTCCTTGTCACTTTCTTCTTCGCCTCTTTCAAGCGGTCCCTTCCTTTCTGTTGTTGCGGCAGACCTTACAGACTTTGCACTTGGGGACTTCCACTGATCAAATCCATAAATTACATATCTAAGAGCTAGTGCAATAATCCTTTCAGCAAACAGTTTTAAGAGACTTGGAACCTCTCTTACAGGTAAAAGGCAAGGTCCTTGCTTTCCTGCTGAGGTGACTGTGGCCGTTCACACAGAGACTGTGGCTATTTGTCACCACAGAGAGGTGACAAAGGCACAGTAGAAAGTCAGCCCCTCATAAAACAGGTGCCTGCTCTTGCTATCACACTGCAAACTGCTGTAGGATGGCACAGGTTCCTAAAAAAGGCTTCACAGCCCTGCAGCCCCCTGCAAGTGCAGCAATGTTAGTCACTGGCCAGTGTGTAGGTCTACCCAGAGCTCTTCCCATATTCCTGTGCAGATGTATACAGACAAATTTGATATAATAATAGTAATAATAATAATAATAATTATTATTATTATTATTATTATTATTAAGAATAATAATAATATTAATTTAATAGCTTTGCATTGTGGGACTGAACATGGTAATAAAGTTGTGCAGTCTGTCTCTTCAGAAACTGCTCAGCAAGAGCTGATGGGCTAGTTGGGGTTCCCCCTATGCTGCTTGTGAGGCCAGAATCAGGATGCTGCTAGAGTGAAATGGGTGGCAGGGGATTACTAGAAATTACTTCTGAAAATGAATGGGTGTGTGAGGAGAGCCCTGAAAAATTGCTGGTGCAGAATCACCCCTAAGACATCAGCTACACAGGGACATGGCAGTTTTTGAACCAGTTTCACAAGGTGTCCTGAAAGCAAGGTGCTGCTGTATTTAATCCACTAGGCAAGGGGGAATACTTCAATAAATTAGAAACACCCTTTTATATTCTATTTTTTTTCCCTTGTGTGTGTGCCTGTGTGTCCTCTGGACACTGGAATTTTTTTTTCTTTTAAAACTGTAAATAATCTGGTTTGTTTTTTGGGGTTTTTTTTTCAAATTGAGTACTGATGTCTCTTGCCAAGATTTGTTGAATCCTTGCTTCTGCATTCCTAATGCTTCATGTGTTTGCCAGTCCACTCAGCCCTTCCAGGCAAGGAAAAGTTGAGAATCCACTTTTGTATGGTACAAACAGCATAACTTGACAGAAGAGAAGGAGTCTGAACAGCACATAGGCAAAGGTGCTTGGGGCTTGGAAAGAGTTTAAACCTAATAAAGGACTTACATTAAGGCTGCCTGACCCCTGGACTTAGGAGGTAAAACTGTTTGCTCTGTGATCCTCATATAGATACAAGACAGGCAGCAGGATCAGACTTGCAGGGGACTGGGGTAAGCGATTCCACTGAGCAAGCAGGAAACACCACTGATGTTTCATTTGTGGATGGGAAGAAGAGGAGCACTGTGGTTCTTCAGAATATGGGCACTGTGTCTGCAACAGGTGACACAGGACTAGTATTTGAAGGTACTTAGAACATAAACTTGGTTTTTAGTCGGGTCAACACTTTAGAGCCACTGCTGTTCTAAACTTGAACTACTGAGTTGCCAATGGCACTGCGTGCTCCTCTCCCATTCCAGGAGCCAAGCGTGTCGGTGGTGGTGGGCTTGGGCTACGCCTGCAGGGTCTGAAGCTTCCTCTGCACTTACAGTGGCATTCCTGAGTTCTTGCCCAGATTGTGCTGTTTGGATTTCCACTGTGCAGCACATGCTGAATCTCACAGTTTTAGCCAGACAATTGGGAGTGCACTCAGCCTCCTTCCTGCAGGAATACAGGACTCAGCTGAAATGCCTACATGAGCCTTGTTTTTCAGGAAGAGGCTTTGTGACCTTCTATAGCAGGAAGGAGGCAGCACTGACCTCAAGGCAGTGGCGAAGGATGATTTTTCCCTGGGAAGATTGTCCCATTTCTGGAGGAAGGCCTGTGCGTAACAGAGATAATTCAGGCAGTGTAGCTGATGCAGCACAGGGACAGATACATGATGTGTGCAAAGGCTGTATTGTAGACCTTGGTGGTAGTGCTTCAAATTCCTTCTGCACCACAAAAGCAAGTCTTCATGAGCCAGGAGAGTGTTTGAAAGGTGTTAGGTTGGCAGCAGCAGAAGGCTCTGAATGTCATTCTCCACCTTCCACATTTCTGGATCAGTATAATCCCAGCAGATAGCATTCATTCTGTGTTGGATTTCCTGGCTTGCTGCCGTAGGCTGCTGTCACTTACACAGGACAGGAGAATTTACAGCAAGCCCTAAGGGTATGTAGGTTGGGTTTTAGGTATGGGATAAAGTGGTCTATGATGTGGCAGTGCAAAGGTTGGGATAACTGCTGTGCTGAGTGGTGAGGGCTTGAATTGATAGCCACTCCTTAGGCTGGGGAGCAGGAGTTGATGTCTGGCATGGGTAGCAAGGAAGCTAAAGCTTTGTATAATACTGAAAAGATTTGAAAGGGGTCATCTTCTTAACATCTTCTGAGTGAGGCATTGGAGAAGACAGTCTGTGTTGAGCTAGCAGCGTGGTGGAGTCTACACAAAAACTAGGGATCCTGCATAACAAAACTAGGGTTTTGTTATTTTGTAGATTTTTTTGTCAGTTCTGTGTCCTTTGCTTTGTGCAGAGGCATTTCTACAGCTGACATGGATTGTCTGGGCTTTCAGTCACTCAGAATTCTCAGTGTCTTCTTTGTCTCTTGCAGCTGAAGGACACTAAATTGAGATTGGATGACTGGGTGACAGATAAGAAGGAATACAAAAAAAGGAGATTGGGAACCCAGGAGTGGAACAGCAAGGGATGTGTGGGAACCAATACAGCCCTCTCCATAAAGTGATATCCATTAATGACCTCATAGATGGCAATATCATTACAAATGCTTATGTTTTGTGTTTCAGCAGATCTGTTGGCTTCTCCCGAAGTGACATAATGCAGATCTTTGACTCTGAAACTGCAGTTGACAGTTGAATCCAAATTATGGCTTCAAAACACTGAAGTTGGCCACAGTCCACTTAATTTCTGTAATAGCCTAAGGCAGCTTTTAATAATTGACCTCATTTTCACAGAATCAAAATAGTTTAGGTTGAAAGGGACATCAGGACATCATCTGCTCCAGCCACTTGCTCAACATGCAAATTAATCTACCTTTATTATACTAAGATAAACAAAAAATCAATTTCAAGAAAAGAGCAAATATTACCAGTTTCCTTCAGCCTGCATTTTGACATTGGTGAGTGGTGGGGAGTCTGGATTTATACTGGGAAACATTTAGGTAATTTTACGAGCAGTTACTATTATTGTGGAATGTGTTAAAATACCTGCCTAGCTTTTAGATCTGGGGAACTGAACCAGATTGTAATTTTCCTCCACACATCAGAGATAGAATTATTAATCACTCTACTCTCGTGAGGCCAAATCTACACCCATATGACTCCAGTGACACTACAGCTAGGGCTTTGGACACAGTGAGTTGTCTGGTGTTATGAGAACACAATAAAGCAGCACACTGCTTGGTGCACAAATAGGACCTTGCATTAAATTTATGGGGCTAAAAGCTTAGAAAATGCTGTATTTCACTTATAAATTGAAGGTACTTTTTTCAGAAACTTAGTCTGTCATTTATGGAAACACTTTTTAGGAGAGACATTCATTTTCACCTGGAAGGATTTCAAGAGAAGCTGTTAAACCAGTCATTTTTCCATATAGAAGTTCACTAAGTAGAGAAAGAACACAAATAGAGAGAATTTAACTCCTGCATATACTTCGTTTCCTTCTGCTGCCTTCCCACATATTCAGGCTCATTATGTCCCTGTGGCAACTCCGAAAGATATATAAATAGAAGAGAAATTCTAAATTAACCAGCTGCATATGTTTGTCCTCACTTTTAATTCTGCAGTCACATTGAAAAGTGCGTTCCACAGTTTGTATTTTCCCTTTTCTATCCCTGTCCCTTACCAGTGCCATTCTTCCTTGCAAGTTCTTTCTGCACACATGTTGCAGGCATTCATCGCCTTGTCATTTGGAGTGGCACTCATCTCTAAAAATGTTGCTGTCTGTAACCTCTTTTTGGGAAAGCCATCATGGGTTCCCTTTGTAGGCAGTGAAGCCCAGAAGGCAGCTCAGCAGACCAGATGCAAGTTGGAGTAGGTTGAACTGTGCTCTTAATGCCTTTGCTTAGGCCTCCGTGGCTTGTGAAAGGAATGCAAGGTGCTGTCCTCATCTGCAGAGATCTGTGCGGCAGTTTCCTGTATGTGGTGATGAGTGTGGCTTTGCTAATATTTAACTAATATTTGCTTGGTGTCCTTATTCAGTTCACCTTATGTACACGGGTTCAGCCCCTAAAGATGTCCTCAGTGATGGAGCCGTCATTCCCGGGGGGGATGGTTCACTCACCCCACGTAGCTGCAGTCTCTGGTGACTCTCTGAGCTCTCTGCACTACACACAAAGCTAGGCAGCAGCATGTGACTACTGATTTCCTTTAGTCAGAGAGCACTGCTGGGGCTACAACGTCCCAATGGAATTGCGTTAGAGGTTTCCTCTCTAAGTGCTGTGCCTTTCAGGATTGCTTTCTAACTGCACACCGAATGTCTA